AATGCTCACACGAAGGTGCATACAGACGCAAACAGCAGAGGGCTCGCCGGCATTTTGCTACAAAAACACTCTGATACCAAGCTGTGTCTGGTCGCATACTTCAGTAGGAAAACAGCACCTGCCGAGGAAAACTCTCTCAAGTCTGAATTAGAAACCTTAACAATACTCCAGAGCTTGAAGGAAAGGATATATCTGCAAGGGATGAAATTTGTTATAGTCACATATTGCAATGCGCTGAAGGCTTCTAGTAGCAAGAAACACCTGTTACCCAGAATAGGCCGATGGTGGTTGTAATTACAAGAGTACATTAAATATAGACCAGGCAATCGCATGAATGATTCCTTGTAATTATAAAACATACATCCTGTTTCTCGTATTACTTTGAAACGATTGCTTGTATCTGTTAAATGTATTGTACTGATTTTAGTATAATATCTACTATTCTTTAAGATGGAGCATGCCAACTGTAATATGATATATTCTACTTTTTTTGCTTAAAACGCGGCGTCCTATAAATTAATTTTATTTGTACTACTTTTAGAATAAGTAGTGATGGCTAAATTAGGAATGAGAATAAGAGAAAATGGTATACTTCAGGTAGGATTAGAACTCACGTTTCCTAGTTTCCAAGTGTACCCTGCTGAAGGATTTATTCCGAAACAAACCTAAAGTCCATAAATGTACTTCATGTTTACTTCAGGCTGGATTCTTCTGTGGTTTACTTGAATAAAACGCCTACCTACAAATTCGGAAAAGTATGTTCGAATTTTATCTAATATGTATGTTTTTCTAATTCCCGCAAATCAACAAATTTATATTTCCAATCTATTAGACACTCAATAATACAATTACTTAATCGAGAGAACATCTCAATGTCACATATGTAGGTATGTATTAAAATCTTGTATAACGTGTAAGTGACTCCTTCTTTAGGGGTTTTCAGAGAGATGCTGCTAGGGATTCAGTTCTTTGTAACTTCATATGCAAAAAATGGTCATCACAGTGAAGAGTTTCAAAAGTAACCACAATAAACTTCTTTCTGTTGATTAACAAGATTTTTGTTATCTGAGCGAAAATAGAGAGATCGCATTATATATTAATATAGGTATATACTTACTTACACACATTACCGTGCACCAGAAGCATCGTTTAGATGAAACTTCTCCTGGATGAGCTGTCTGTCATGTTTTTGCGCAGGAAATAGTTTACCAGAAGTAAATGAAGAGGAAATGTTTCCACTAAGGACACTGTTCATTATCAACTAGTTTTTTAATGCTTTTTATAAAGAAGTATTATTTTCTTATCTTTAAATTTTTTCAAATAGGAATTAAATTTCCACTTACTTAAAAATTTTGTTTCTTTCTCTATTATTTTAGAAACAAAAGTATAGCACAATTTTTCGTAAGCTAAGAAGTAATATATGGGAATTACTCTGCCACAACACACTCCAGACTGTTAAACCATGTCACCTGCTACATCCCTAACCTAACCTAATATTTTCTTAGAAGAAATCGCGTAACATATCCTTGAAAAAAGTAATAGAAAAATACAGTTGAATTGAGAATCTTCTTTTTCTTTTGAAATCAGTTGGAAAGTTACCTGTAATTACAGCCTAATCATGGAAGATTCACTTTTTTTCAAGATTACCAACAAAGCTATATTGTATTTTTATTGTAAATCATTTTAAGAGGTATAAAATCATGTCATTGAATTCATTTTCAACTTATGTTTTGACAATATATGAGGAAGTAGTTATTACTATTCTCATATGATTGCTTTGCATCTAAAATGAATTAGAAGCAACAAATGGCTTTTTATATGTTTATTGAATTTACCATATACAATAAATGTAACTCGATTTACAACTTAAAAAGAGAAACTTATGAACTAAGGGCTGATATGTTGGGGGGTTTTGAAATATAGGTAGTGTAATGAATGAATTTTCGCATTGTTTCAATATTCAGCATTATTTCGGTTTACTTGTTGTTTTATTTTTTTTTTGTTTTTATTCATAACTTCTTTCATACTTCTAATAATGGGCTGAATACGTTCTGTAATTAAACTAAAGGTAGAAACCCAAAACGTTTTAAATACCTACAAAAATATATCCAAAAATCTTATTTAAACGATTCCCAATATTTTTTGATGACTTTATAGAGTAAAAAATAGTACTTAATATTATTTTACACAAGACAGGTACAAAAATAAAGGTTTCAGCTTTAAAATGGGTTAAATAGTTGTCAGAGAATTGAACAACCACTTTGCATTTTCGGAATGTTCCGGGAACGTCCGTTATTTTTCGAAATTGTTCCCGAAATGACATTATGATACTTAAAAAGGTTTACAAAGCGAATGCGCCATGTTGGACGCCAGTTTTTGAGCTTATTTACTTGTGAATCACGTTGTCTAACAGAAAAAAGTTATAATTCTTATCTTTTTTTGTCTCAACAAATATCAAAAGGCGTTCCCGAAATCACAAGGAATTAAAGTACGCATTTAAAAACTGACTTGATAGGTTTTTACCTCAATATTTAATAATTTAATGCGAATAACACATACACACTGACCATCTTGTTGAAAAATGTTAATGCGACTGCTCACCAATACTACTTCGAGTATTTATTTCGGAAAAAACTGAGGTATTATGCTTGCGTTCATGAAATAACTGATTAACTGTCAGACAACATGTTCATGCAAGTTAATGCTAATTTAGAATTGAGAAAAAAATATTTCTCGTAGATAACGCAAATATAAAACATTTCTAAATAAAATCTAGGTCTGTACCTTTATCAACTTGTTTGGTGTATAAGTTTTTCTCGTTTGAACAACGCGGAATAGATAGCGGACGCGTTCCCTGAATCATTTTTTGGGAAAATTTTATTCAAAAATACAGACAAGTTTTAACTTTTTCTGATATATACTCGAGGTGCTTATAATTACGAATAATTCATGTATGTTAATTAAAATAAAATTATTTAATAGTTTAATTAAAGTAAGAAAATCTTTTTCAGAAACCAATTTTTCACCTCTCTGATTTTGACCCTTAAGCAATTTGAAATAATTGAATTATCGAAAACTATAACGAATCTTTTTTGTAGAGTATTAAATAATTCTCTGTCAAAATATGTATTATGTACGATTTTGCTGAGTTTCAAAATTCATTTGACCAGTACAGAATATGATTTATGACCACAGTTTGACTACAAACGTGCGAGTGAATTTAACGAAACAATAAAATGGCGTAATTAATAGAAAAACAAGTAAGTAGGTATAGTCCATTTGATTGACGATTTTTCGCTCCAAATTCTTTCGGATAAGATTGACTGACGTGAAATTTAGACAGTAATCAGTAATTTAGACAGTAATTAAGGAGTGGCTCGAAGAAAAAGCTAGCTATATGACCTCTTTTACTTTGGGGTGGATGTCATCCTTTCTCGGATGTGGAGCGTATAACATTTGAAATAACTTGAGAAACCGATAGACAAATAAATTCTAAGTTAAAAGTATCATATGAAGTTTTTTTAAAGACTTAATATTTTCTGAGTTGTTTTTCAGTAATAAATCATGCTATTGTAATGTACATAATATATTCGTTTTTCCCATTTTCAGTTTTTAGTTTTAATTAGACATGGTAGTTATTTTTTTAATTTAATTAAACGTTAAAATATTTGAAGCTATTGAAAACTAGTTGGTGGAACAAACAAAGTGGTCAGCGCGTGTTAAGGCAGCAGTTCTGTCGAAACTGTCTGCGACGCGCTGATGAGATCCAACAAGATCGAAATCGCTATCTGCGTCTAGCAGTTTCGGCAGAATACTGACCACTTCGAATTTCTTTGTTCGAGTGCTTATCACGTAGTGTGAGCTACGCCGTGGATTTTGTTCAGGAAGTAGATATCAATCTATTTAAATGGATCTTATTGAGCATATTGAATTCCACTAAATAAAGCATTATACCAGAGATGGGGTTTATTGCGTCTTCTGTAGGATTTCATAGTTGTTGATGGTTTTTAAGGGTTAAACCTTGTATATTATGAACAGTAACTGGATTTCAGTTTACCACAAATGCAGCATTAAAACATTTGAAGACTGAAAAGTAATGTAAATTTTATCAATACGGGTGGTTTTAAAGGGTTAAAACGTCACAATAAACCATAAATTATATTGTAAATGTGACGGGATTTTAGTCAATTATAAATGCGTCACTAAAACAGTTCTTTGATTTCGTCTTAAGCGCTAGCTTCAAACGGTTGAAAAGTTATACAAAAAAACACATCATAAATTGTCGTATTCTAGAACATAAAATAATGTATATTTTTCATATTTAAATACAATTTCAGTGTATATAACGCTTATTTGTAACAATCGGTACCCTTCACCTCCAAAAAAACAAAAATATTAAAGAGGAGGGTAAGCTTAATTGTAAACTGTCATCAAAATCGATATTGTTCGACGGAATTATGAAGTAATGGATAAAGATGAGTGTGTTGACAACTAATATATATATTTTTTTGTTTATAAAAGATCCGCAGAATACAAAAATGTTAATTTTTCTAATTATCGAAATATACCGTTGATGTTCCTTTTTAAAAACAAGATTATTCGAAGTTTCACTTTGTTAAAAGCCTATTCTATATTTACCGTAAATGAAAATTTGGCCAGACTAACTTTAGTCAAATGGAAAACAGAAAATGACGCCCAGGAACCGATAACATTAATATTCAGGGCTCAAATTATAACGGGTTTTTTTTTTCTGCTATAAAGAGGCACTAAAAAGATATGAATTTTAATAAAATAAAAGTCAATTTTTTGAACTATCAGTTTGAGGTACCTAGGTATACATACGTATACGTATAACTTTATTTGTGTATTTTACATTATATGTTCTGTATCATGCTGGAAATGTAATATCAACTTTACCACTCCCTGATTTGTGACTGTTCACTTTCCTGGCAAAGAAATACAAGTCGAGAGACGTGGTAATTAAGGTGAGGGCTTAACAGTCTACGAAGACTTTCTTTCTTGCAGACCTCTGGTAACAATCTACAACTTGCAGTTGTTTTATTACGTTCAACCGGATCTTTGCCTCAACAGCATAACATATCTTTGAAGCGGTGTCTGATACTATTCGGATTGTGTGGAAGTGATGTTGCAGATTTAATCAGTGCACAAAAATCTAAGTGGCGAATACGTTACAGTATAAAAAATGGTAAGTGAAAGTACTACATTCTGTTAGTTTTTCAAGAGAAAGTAAAATTAATTTTCTTTGTGCTTTCGAAAAATTTAATGTATTTTTCAATTCGAAATGGTTTACTGAATTTTCTTTAATTTAATGTATTGAAATTAAAATCGCCACTAGGTGATTTAAATGGACGCTTTCGCTATGGAAAACATTGTGGTGAAATATTATTTTTTTCTTAATGACCGGGTTTTGTAAAGCAGACAACTTAATGGATTTCTAGTCAATTTTTTATTTTGACGTTTCAGCTTCTTGGTTTTGGGCCATCTTCAGAACTTTTGTATGTTCTAATTACATTGTTTCTTCTTTCTTTGACACATTGTGTTTTTGTAAAAGTATAAAATTGTAATTTGTATTATACCTGTCATCACACTCTGAGCCTCATTACATCTCAGTGTTGCTTTTATTTATTAATGTGCAAATTTAACTTTTTTTCAACTTTGTACTTTTACAAAAAACACACTCTGTCAAAGAAAGAAGAAACAATGTAATTAGAACATACAAAAGTTCTGAAGATGGCCCAAAACCAAGAAGCCGAAACGTCAAAATAAAAAATTGACTAAGAATCCATTAAGTTGTCTGCTTTACAAAACCCGGTCATTAAGAAAAACATATATTAATATATACTTACACCAGACGTTAAGAAAGAAACGAAATATTATTTTATAAAACTGGTGGTCATAGTTGTCCTTATCCTGCCTTTATAATAAGCAGGGATAGTAAAATTCATGTTGAGTTCTCCCGTTCTCTTAAATTCATTCATTGTAGTTTATTCACAGTTCATCCGATACTTTTTAAATCATATTTTAAACTTCGGAGTTATTTTAGATTAAAGTCGTTTGATTCGTATCTACAATACATAGGTACAGTATTAATTCACTAAAAGGTCTGTCTAAAAAAGTTTTGTTACCATTGTAAACTGTTCTTGCCGTCAATATAAAATTAAAAGAGGATTCAAAGTCAAATTATCTTTCGGGTTTTCTGTATGTATGCGAATATGTATACAATTTCTTTGGTTTATGCAGATAGAAATAATATAATAAAAATTAAAATGATACGTAGGTATATAATTAAAACTTAATCCAAAATTATCATCATTCATTCTCAGATAGTTTCTACTTACCTCAAAATGTATCTATAGATTAATAAAATCGAAATCTGTTATCTACCTACATACACGAATTACACAATAAACTTTTTTAAAGTACCTACTTCAATCTAGATTTCTTTCAGAAGTTGCATAATGCTGCCAACTTAAAGCACCAGGGATATATTTTTATTATTGTTGGGCGAGTTTCATAACTTGATAATTTTATAACAACTTGTATAGTTTTATAACAATCCTAATACAAAATGGCACGTTATTACGATATTAAATTAACTGTTTTAGTTTAATTGTGGCTTCCCTGTATATTGTTTTAATTTCCATAACCGCATAAAGCTTAAAAAATTATATTTATATCATTTTAAAAAAATACTCATTGCGTTTTCATGAATGGAAAATAAAGTAAACAGTTTGTGGATTATCGTATCGTAAGTGCAATTAGTGAACTGAGTTCCTATTTAATAATTAAATATTCCATTAATACGAAGTAGAACTGATTAAATCGACTGACACAGATGTACGGTATTGAAATGAAAATAACTCGTTAGCAGTGTATAGTTTAATAACATTTCACGCATCGTTAAATGGGAAGATGGACAGACCTACATTCGTTTGTTTATGTCTATTTTTTTATCTGGTTTAAGCTTCGTTAAAGTCTAAATAAAACCTTGTAAGCTTTATAAGAGCGTTTAAAATTACAGTAATTACAATTATTCATTTTACCATAATTCTCTGTTCAAATATTCTTCGCCCATATATTAAAGTCATAAATAGATTTAATTTTTAAAGCGACGTGGTAGCATCAGTATATGTTCATATAATTACAATTAGTTACTACTGCGACTCTATTGTACGAGGGTGGATTGATAAGTTTCCGGCCTGACCAAGAAAAACAAGGTTTTTAAAAATTTTTTTTTTTTATTTCTCAACATAATCTCCTCCAAGGCTGATACATTTCTCATAGCGGTGTTCCAGTCTATTAATGCCATCTCTATAGACTGATTCGTCAAGCTCCTCAAAATAACCATTTACAGCTTCGATTACTTCTTCATTGTCCGCAAATCTCTTACCGCCAAGCCATTTTTTGAGATTAGGGAACAGAAAATAGTCACTCGGGGCTAGGTCTGGAGAGTAAGGAGGGTGCGGCATCAATTCAAACTTTAGATCGTTGATTTTAGCCGTCGCAACGATTGACGTGTGCGCTGGTGCGTTATCGTGATGAAACAAGATTTTTTTCTTCGCCAGATGAGGTCGTTTAATTTTCACCTCGTGGCTCAAACGTTGCAATAAGTCTGCGTAGTATTGACCAGTGATAGTATTACCCTTTGCAAGGTAATCAATGTATATAATACCTCTTGCATCCCAAAAAACAGTAGCCATAACCTTGTTCGCCGAAAAAATTGTTTTTGCCTTCTTTGGAGTTGGTTCCCCTGGTCCAATCCACTGTTTAGACTGTTCTTTGGTTTCAGGAGTGTAGTGGTGGACCCACGTTTCGTCAACGGTTACGAATCGACGCAAAAATTCGCTTGGATTACGCTTATACAATGACAAATTTGCGGTAGAAATGTTTTTTCGAATCAATTTTTGGTCGACTGTTAGCAAACGCGGCACCCATCTTGCACAGAGCTTTTCCATATGCAAATGTTGGTGCAAAATATGTTGCACACGTTCATATGACATCTTACAGGTCTCAGCTATCTCACGCACTTTCAATCTGCGGTCTCCCAGCACTATTTGATGAATTTTTTCGATCATATCTGGAGTTGTGACCTCAACGGGGCGTCCTGAGCGAGGCCCATCAGAGGTGCTCACACGACCCTTTTTAAACTCGGAAACCCACTGCTTAACGGTTGAATATGACGGGGAGGATGTCCCCAGTGTTGAGTCCATCTCTTTTTTAATTTCCTTCGGCGTTAACCCCTTCAAATAAAAGTATTTGATGACAGCACGATTTTCCTGCTTTTCCATTTTTACGAAAACCACAGAGGCGTCTTGTTCAGCGTGCTGTCAAACCTACACTAGCAAGGAGATCGGGCTGAAACTATAGCTACAAGCTATCCAAGGATGGTACTATAGAATGTCACCTCAAGGTAGGCCTAGTGGCGTCATCTCTTGGTTAGGCCGGAAACTTATCAATCCACCCTCGTATTGTATTAATTACGTATGGTAAATAGATCGATAGGTTTATTGCGACAATCACTTCAAGGCAGAAATGCTTACAATCAAAAATGAGGAAACGTGACAATCGACACAGGTGTGAGGTGTTCACGGTCGGTAAAAGTCGGAAGTAACAGCGAAATGATAATGTAGTTTGTTTTGTTTACTTGTGGCGCCTTAACGTAAATCGGCCTGTTTATATTGATTACAAGCTTTTACCCACAGCTTCGCTCGTGTTGATGTCTTAATAATGTGTCAAAGATCACCGAAAATACAATAATTTGAAAATTTGATCTTAAGTCTTCATCAGGATCATCAGGATAAAACTAGTTTTTAATTTTGTAGGTCAAATTTAGACTTTGAGTAAAATGATAGTAAATACTGTCCTTTATTGCTCGAGAATAGTATTTTTTCTGGATAAAAGGTACCTTATATCCTTCTATACATCCCTAGCAATGTGTGCACAAAATTTTATAATGATCGGTTGAGTAGTTAAGGCGTGAAAGTGTACCAAACAAACTAACTCACAATCCCATTTACAATATTAGTTAGATTACTATTATGAGGCTATGACTCGTCCAAATTCAGACAGATGGTTATCATTGTCGATGCTGCATTGCACTTACATTTTAACAATGACGTACCTCCATATCATAATACTTCAATATAATAATTTCGTCGGTGGGCGTTTAGCCACAGCCACTACCATATTTTATCTATGCACTCAGGAATAACAAATTTCTACAATTGTAGAAACTATTGGTGGGGAAATGAAAATAATTGTCTTATGTCTTATTTATGTTGCAAGGATTTTGTCTGAACATGTGTTGATATTTCCCCTACAATTTACCAATACAATTTTTCTGTCTAAACGTCCAGCATAAGTTAACCTTGTTGCAAACTTTATAGAGTAAAAAATAGTACTTAATATTATTTTACACAAGACAGGTACAAAAATAAAGGTTTCAGCTTTAAAATGGGTTAAATAGTTGTCAGAGAATTGAACAACCACTTTGCATTTTCGGAATGTTCCGGGAACGTCCGTTATTTTTCGAAATTGTTCCCGAAATGACATTATGATACTTAAAAAGGTTTACAAAGCGAATGCGCCATGTTGGACGCCAGTTTTTGAGCTTATTTACTTGTGAATCACGTTGTCTAACAGAAAAAAGTTATAATTCTTATCTTTTTTTGTCTCAACAAATATCAAAAGGCGTTCCCGAAATCACAAGGAATTAAAGTACGCATTTAAAAACTGACTTGATAGGTTTTTACCTCAATATTTAATAATTTAATGCGAATAACACATACACACTGACCATCTTGTTGAAAAATGTTAATGCGACTGCTCACCAATACTACTTCGAGTATTTATTTCGGAAAAAACTGAGGTNTGATTGAACTTACAAAGTCATTGTCCATAGTATACATTAACAACCGCTTATTTTTATAGCTACGGTGGTAGTTTACATTTTGGAATATTTATTTAAATATGTAGAATTCTTGTCATATTGACTTATTGTTAATGTATAAATAAAACGTTATACACTATTTACCTGGTTGACTTTTAATTCAACAACGTACCTCAATCAACACTAATGACGAAATGAGAATCGAATATAGGGCAATCTACGGCTAATTGCATGTACTTATCACAGGTGTAGCGAGGGGGTTGCTTGGTGTAGGAGAGGTTTGCTATTAAACATCT